AAAATAACATGCTTTTTCTCTCAAATATATTGTTATAATCATTTGTTTCGGATTTACTGTAATTATTTTCTGTATAAAAATTAATTTGGTGTTCAAAAAGTCTTTTTTCAAACTTGAGTCTTGAAAAAGAGGGGGTCGTCTTATAATCAGGGCCGTCTTATATTCGGGCCAATACGGTAGTTCCATCAAAAATCCCCATCTTTGCGTATAATGCAGAGGAGATTTGTGATACAAGTGAAGCATGTGTGGCTTATTTGCTTGGTTTTAATATTAAGCTAACATTTTCAATGTTATGCTAAATTCTGATATCATGTCTGGACCGCTTTCAACCAAACTCGTGTTGATCACTGTGCCTTCTTTATCACGCCACGTCTGTCTTGTGTCCCGGAGCTTGGGGGAATGGGAAACTGCATTCATCATTTTCCCCCACTATTTTCTCCTTGTCATTTATCATACAACTGCGCCAAAATCTTTTGTTGTTGTCATTGTGAAATCACTCCACCACCACCATCTGTCAATGCCGCAGCAATGCACCGCCAATTGTGCCAGGAAGTGCTTGAAAACTATTCCATTTGGGCGCATAATTCATTTAGTGTCATCATGTCCGATTATGACAACTGATTTCATCTTCTCTCACTTTAGATGCAGATGAGTGTGAAATGAAAATATGTGTCCATGCCCGCTCTTGCCGCAACCTGATTGGTGGATACCTGTGTGATTGTCTTCCTGGATGGGCGGGGTCAAAGTGTGACATCAGTGAGTGTAACATTTTTCAGCTTCACAGCAACTTGCCGACCCTTTCTTTCATGTGTTTTTAAAAGGGCATTTTGTTGTAAATCATTATGCATTTGTATGATTTTTTATTTTTTTTGCATTAGGGAACAACAGCTGTCAGGGCTTGTGTCTCAACGGGGGACATTGTGAGGTGAGTCTGTATATTTCTTGCATAAATGTCCACAAACTGAACACAAAAGGAACTTTGAACTGCCTCATAAAGGAACAGATGTCGGGATCCAGATGTTTGTGCCCGCTTGGCTTCTCGGGAAAAAACTGTCAAATTCGCCTCAACCTTTGTGATAGCGCCCCCTGTCTGCATGGAGGGCATTGCACAGAGAAGGATGAACGTGCCGTCGCCTGTGACTGCCCTTTGGGGTATTCTGGAATCTTCTGTGAGGTGGGTAAAGCCTCGCAGTGTGTTAGATAGAGCATAAGAATTTGCAAGATATGATGTTTTTCTTGTGTGGCCTGGTAGCAGCTGGGCAGGGAGTTTTTTCTTAAGCCAAACCATTCTGGAACATTTAGTAAAGGCAATTCTACGACTAATAGTAATAATACAAATAATGTGTATCTAGCTATCAAGGAGTATTGGCACCACACTGTAAATATGCAACTTTTTATAAAATCTAAAAAAAAAAATATATATATATATATTTATTCTTGCTTGCGATAAACAGATTAAAAAAATGGATGGAATATATCCAACTTTATTACTTTAATCGAAGAAATGCACTTTATTCCACAAAATATTTTCTCAACAATCCCCCCCACCCCAAATCTTTTTGAATATGCAACTACATTTTCGTAGCACCATGTCATTTTTTCCCCCTTGAAAATGCAAAATTTTTCTTGAAAATATATTCATGTATTCTCTTACGATGACAACTTTATTCTTTTATAAGATTATAAGCGTAAACTTGAAAATATGCCAAAAATTTTAAAAATATGCCCTCTTTCTCTTTATACAAGTATGACTCTTAAATCATTTCCACATTCTCAAAGACATGCAACTTTATTCTCAAACGATCTCCTAATAGCATTTCTTTTTCAGTGTGGCGCCATTTCTCTTTTTTATGCTGCAAGACTAACAGCAAATGTGAATGTTCTTTTCTTTTTTTTTCCTGTCATTGTGAACACCCTACTTTTTTATTTCAGATTGTGCAGGATGTGTGCAACCCCAACCCTTGCTCGCAGGGGATGCCCTGTCACAACATCGATGGCAACTACATGTGTGCCTGTCCAGAGGGTTACCATGGAAACGAGTGCCTCAGCCAAAAGAGCCCTTGTTTTGGACCTCACTGTCCAGGTAAGACGATGGAAAGATCAATAGATAGATAGATTGATAGACTCGAAGGGAAATTTATAAAATGTTTGTTGTGATGGAGTATTTGTCATGATTCATATTTCATGTATTTTTGCCACCCCCTCCAAGGTGCCATGTCAGACACAAAAGGGGGCATCAGCTTCTACATGGTCCTGTTGGGCGTTCTAGCGCTGGTGATAGTATGCGGCTGCACCGCGTGTGCCTTGGTCCTCTCCCACCTGCAGCACAAGCGGAAAAAACAGCATGCCGTCCCGCCGGAGGAGGGCACCATCAACAACCAGAGGGAGTATGTCAACCTCATCCGAAACCTGGACCACCTTGTCCCCCCGCCCCTTCCGCCTCCTGCCATCCCGCTGGTTCAGACGCCGCCCACCACAGCCGCCGCCGCCGCCGTTAGCCCGCACTGCTATGAGGAAATTGAGCTGACTTTCCCTCCCACGCCGGCCCCCTCGCACTCGTCATCCCCTGGGCTGAAGCAGGCCCCCGCTCCAAAATTGGACATTTCCAACCAGGAGCGGGAGAAGCTAAACCGCATCCACTGCACAGACAGCCACGAGCTACAAGTGTGACCCTTGAAATCTGAGGCTTAATTTTTTTTTCCTGCTTACTTTGCACTCTCTCGCTCACAGGGTCCACGTTTCTTGTTTGGCCTATCGTGTTGTTGAGACTCTGCAGATGATGTCATGAGCTTGGATACTTAAAGCTGCAATTCCACCCAAAGTTCCAAGAACTTTTAATACTCTGTACTTGTACTCCCGGTACTATGACAGACCTGGTTTGAAGGAAAAGACTCATGACTGTCGATGGAGATGGTGTTCTGTGTGTGGTGTGTTGTATTGGTCATTATGAGTAAACTATGAGAACAGTGCGTCCAATTTGCCATCATAATATATATTGAACGGATTTAACATTTACAATAGCCTTCACTGAAAATTACTTTTAACACACCCCACAGTACAGGATAATTTTTTTTGAGACATCTGAGAATCGAGCCTTTGCTGACTTTTGATCGGAAAAGGAAAAATGCTGACATTCGTCCTGATTATTTTGTGTTGTAGCCTGCTTTAGTCGTCAGTATATGAACAGGTGTAGACAAGGTTAAAAAACAAAAGTAGTCAGGAGCTATGGAATCAGAGTTGTTCAGCACTGTTGACCCCATCTGAGCCTTTTTGAGCAAACCCTCCGAATTCATAAACACAACGGTCCTCAAATGCTTACAGAGTCAAGTTTCCTTTGGTGGAAGTGCGCCAAAGTGACCTCCGAGTGCCTGAAACAGTGTCAGTCACAATAATTCAGGCCAAAAATCTGAGAATGGCTTCGATGACCAAATGAGTGGATGATTATTTAAAGTCCAACAGGATGAATGTGAGATTATTTAAAGCAGCCAGTGTATACATTTTCTTCTATTTACAAGGGGGAAGCTTCATTTTCCAACACATTTTCTGGATTCTGAGTTTGTGTGCGAAAGACAACACAATATAGGAAATATGTCAGAACACAATCCTCCGAGTTGTGCTTTAAAGCCTCATGATTTTTTTTTTAAACCATACACTGTTGCCTGTCTTGTTTCTGTGATTATACCTTTTTTTGTCATTTTGCCTGTAAGATAGTTTGTACATAATTTTATTGTAAATATTGATGCCTCCCTTTTTTTTGTACCGTGGATCAGTCTGAGAGTATCACTCTTGTTGTTTTACTATCGTTCTGTAATAAAAGTGCATTTAACAGTTTGGGATTGTTGAAACCTGAAGTCATAAAATGTCCTCGGAATTAGGCTGAGTCTTTCATTTGGATTTGTTTTGGTTTTGTAACCACTCGAGAAAAAGAGAGAAAGGGATGCCCCAGGCTGAATGTGAGGATTTTGTGTCAATGTGAGCATTGTCGATTGTTGCATATATTCTCAGAATAATGTCAAAGTCAAATCTACCTCGCTGAATTTACGACATTGGAAAGTTCTGTAAATAACGTCGGCTGACTCAGCTCCATGTAGTGTTAATGGGCGCTGGAATTCAACACCCTCCTTTGCCAATACTGTTTATATTGCACGAGGACTGACTGTGCATGTCAAACTTTTCATGAGAGGAAAGGGGGAGACATCTTTGCGTCATAAAATGAGACAACAGATAAACTAATCAATTTTACATTTATTAACTGTATACTATTTATTCTTGTCATCAAAAAATAAATATACACATACTGTCTGTTGAAATGTTTTTATTACAGTAGTTTTTCCTGAAAGAAATGTATTCTTTGCACTAAATAATGAATGCAAAATTTGGAATGAATGAGATCTAAAACATTTCTGTTGGATTTTTTTTTTCACTCTTAAGACTCAGAGACACTGTTGGGTAACACTAGTAAGCATGTTTTTTTTTTTTACAGAATCTAGTAATCTGCCTTCTGTTTTTCTCTTACAAATCAGGTTTTCATAGTAATTCTAATAATACTAATGCAACTTTTCATAGTAATTCTAATATAGAAATATTTCATAATATATGTGAATTTAGGGTTGGTTTCAGCAAAAGGTGGGTTTTTTTCCTGAAAAGTCATAGCTATATATTACAACGTATGGTAAAACTAAAATCCGTATTGCGCAAACTTTTATAGGTCAAACTGACAGTGTAAAAAGGAAAGGCATTTTGTGACAGCGGGGATGCAGAAGACAGTTAATGGCAAGGTGGATGTGACAAACATGAACTTTGACTAGCGCAAACAGCAGCTGTCGAGTAGGGCTTCCTGTAACCGCTCTGCTCAGGAGCCTGCTGTGTGCCCCAGGATGTCACACATGACAACATGTATGCTCACAGGAGAGAAGCTCCAAATTTAATATCTGGAGTGGGTAAAATCGATCTGAATTTTGTCCAAGTTGTGAAATACGTTCAGACAGATTATGGGTCGGGGCCGGAATCGAACCCCGTACCTCTGCACCATAAAGCGGACGTGCTCACCATTCGGTATGTTGTCATTAACAAATACATATTTAAAACAATTGTACATAATTGGGTTAGTAAACATAATTTTAAAAACTAACTATAAAGTCACGTTATATTTTTAAACTTAAATATTTTTTAAATTTAATGTCATGTCATTACATTTCATTTCATTTTATCTGTAACTGACTACTTTTGGTTTCGAGAATATAAACATGTTTTGCTTCAACATTTTGGATTTGAGGGGGGATACAGTCTAAAATTATTTTTAAAAAACAATTTGCTTTTTTTCACATTTTAGTCGACGTTTTATTTTTTTAAATGAACCAACTTAAATCAAAAATAATGTAGTAACGCCCAAGCCCAGCAGGGGGATCATTGCTTTCCACCACCGTTAAATTCCACGAGGTAGAAAGGTAGCACGGAAGAAGGCGTGTACGGTGGCCTCTCTGGCTCAGCGAATTTTAACCCAGTTTTCTAATTGTTGCCCTTAAAACAGGTAGGTCGCGTCCACGTTAAATGTAATTAAATATGCTTTTTGTACCATTCCTTACCCAAACAGCTGATTTCTCATTTACTGTGATGCATTCAGCCGCTGATAGCTAAGCTAAGCTAAACTAGCCTCTCGGTGAAAGCCCCCTGCGACTACACGCGCTATCCGTCAAATCGGTGCGGTTCCTGACAAAACCTTTGCGTGCTTTTAAAACATTTTGACTTTTCTGTTTGTTCCAAAATGTGTTTCAAGAAATGTAGGACTAGGAACGAAGTGGGCGTTTAAATATTGCAATGAGGTTAGCTGTAATTGATTTGTTTCCACATGCAAATTGGCGTGTAAGTACTTGTTCTTCTTCGGTTAGCGTAGTTACGAAAAGTGACCATTTACTAATTTATGCACAATAAAAACACGGTCTGTCGTAGATAATGCCACCAGACTTTTATTTGAAAACTTTGAGGAATTTTTCCCCCCCACCAGTTTCAGTTCTATCACAAAATGACAGCAACATTCGCAGCTTCAAGTAATACCACTTCCTTCGTATTCACGACCACCCCCATTCACACAAATTCTTTTTTTCTGATTTTGTGATATTTTATATCGTCAAATGTTTCTGTCATGTCAATAAATCCCTGCTTTTGCAACGTGGAAATGCACAGCTCAGGTGACATGTCTTGAACAATGTTCAGCATCATTGACTCCAAGACTGTCTTCCACTGAGGTCTTCTCTTGTCAGACAGAAAAAAAAGTGAAAATGATTTGCCGCAGGTTGTCTTTTTTCTTAGCGAGAATAAACTGGTTAGTCACTTTTATTAAAAATAGTGGCAAGGAAGGTTGGAAAGGTTTTCAACACTGACTGGGTTCTTGTAAACTTAGCTTCTCTTTGATCACAGCAATGTTGTAAGCAAGGGCGTCGTCCTTTGAACTGCAGAAGCCGCCAAGAAGATCACCCTTCAGTTACATTTTTAAGACTGTAATGAATAAATCCATCAACTCTGATGACTAAAAAATATCAAAGCAAAATCTCTGCCTCGAAGCTTCCCAGAGATCATTTTTCCCTATGGACTAAAGTTACTGCAGTCGCACGCACTACTGCGTGTAGAAATAAATTGATGCAGTGAGATAGGTGGAAAAAGTCAAGACAGTATGTCAAACGTTTGGGATAATTTTATGATGGGAAAAAAAAGAAGATAAAATGGAGTATGTCGATGTGTACCACACAGCATGTCGACAAGCTCCAACACAAGGTAACATGTTGATTTTAGCATGCGCAAGTTATAACATATTTGTGGTTTTAAAAATATGCTGTAGCTGCAGCCCGAAAATTAATCGACGAAATCAATTAGTTGTCCAAAGGCTTGTGTGGGGGCGGCACGGCGGTCGACTGGTTAGCAGTGCAGAGGTGCAGGGTTCGTTTATCCCCGTGGCCGTTTTCTCTGGGTACTCCGGTTTCCTCCCACATTCCAAAAACATGCGTGGCAGTTGAATGGAACACTCTAAATTCCCACTTGGCGTGTGTGAGCGCAAATGGTTTGTGTGTGCCCTGCGATCGGCTGGCAGCCAGTTTAGGGTGTACTACTACTGGCCGAAGACAGCTGGGATAAGCGGAGTAGAAAATGGATGGATGGATGGATGCAATAGTGTGGAAAAAAATTCTGGTGACTGGCCACAAAAATTCTGGTAACTTTTCCTTTTCCCTTTCCCCACTGCAGCAACCGTGCCCCGCCGCGCCCCCACCCCCAGTGGCGCCGTCATGTGGCAGGAGGCCCGCAAGCACGAGCGCAAGCTCCGTGGCATGATGGTCGACTACAAGCGACGTGGCGAGCGCCGCCGAGAGTACTACGAGAAGATCGTAAGTTGGTTTGCAAAAGTTGGGAAATGTTCAAAATTGGAAACCCAGTCAATGCACAAGAAGGGGAACAGAAATAATAATAATAAATGTGACTAAACCAGGAATTGACGAAATTGAATGTTGGCTTTTAATTTGGGACCTAAATTACAGTAGTTGGGGCAAATTTATTGTCGCATTTTTCTGATTTAAAACCTCTAGATTTCATGCAAGTACAGTTAAATATGAAGAGCCCATTGCCCGATATGATTTAGCAAGAAAGCAGAAGTTTCGTTTGAAAACCCCAAAAGGGAGATACTTTTTTTTGCTACTTTTTGATGGTCTGAGAGGAGGGAGCGTTTTCATTCTAAAACAGAGCAATTAGTCATTCAAATATTTATAACTGTAAAATTCGACTTACAAAATAAATCTGTTGAAATGTCACACCTTTTAAATGTTTTTTTTTTTTGTCCTGAATGTCTGCTTATTACAAAACAATGTTAATATTCATGCCATACCGTTTCTTTAAATGACCCTTAATTCCCAACAATTACAAAGAAAAGTTTCAAAATATATTTGCCATGAAATTTACTGAAACTTGTACAACCTTAACCTTAAGTGACAGTGTTGTTTGCGCGGTGATAATCGTTCTGCCTCGCCGCTGCTTGGTTTTCCATCCCTCTGTCTTGTTTCGTAGCTTCCTTTTGTGTTGACCTGAGCTGACTCATTTAGCTTTGTAAACATTTCGAAACATGAGGCAACCACGAAGCGATTTTGGGAGCAACGTTGGCACAGGTGTTTCAATCTTTTCGCGTCTGCTCATTTTTTGTCTCCTTTCAGAAAAAGGATCCGGCCCAGTTCCTTCAGGTTCATGGTCGAGCCTACAAGATCCATTTGGATCCTGCCGTGGCTCTGGCTGCAGAGTCTCCCATCAACATGTAAGGAGGGGAAACGTGCACGCACACACACACACACACACACACACACACACACACACACACACACACATACACACACACACACACACGCGCACACACGCACTTTTATGAACACAACAATTGGTATCAAAATTACTAGCGGTATCGGAACGCTGAATTTGTGAGTACTGGAGTGAATACTGGTATCCTTCTGGGGAAAACACTTGTATTGAACATCCCAAATTTTTGTTTATTAAAATATAATGGCATTACAGTACTCATTACTACTCGTGCATTTTGTTTCCAACCTTCTTTTCTCATTTGCTGTGGTATTTTAAGTAACTCATTGGATATTCTTTTGTGTGTTTGTGTCTTAAAGGATGCCATGGCAAGGTGATGCCAGTAACATGATTGACCGTTTTGACGTGCGGGCTCACCTCGACTACGTCCCCACCTACACGCCTCCACTCATCACCACACCGTGAGTTTAGATCCACTCTATATTTTACCCATCAATTTCATTTCTGTTACACGTTTTTATACGAGACACTGACATGTGGGTTTGTTTCTTTGAGCTGCATGAGTCCTACACATGAAATATTTCAGTTCTGATGTTCTTTCCTGCTTGTTGACTGTGTTTTTTTTTTTGTTTTGTTTTGTTTTGTTTTATTCCGCCTCCTCAGAAGCCCAGAGCAGGAGATGGAGGAGAGGAAATGCAATTATGAGCGCTACAGAGGCTTGGTGCAGAACGACTTTGCCAACAGTCAGTAATGTGTTCTCTGACATCCAGCACAGGAGCGAACGATAATTGTCTTGTTGAATCAAGATCGTGATGAACACTTTAAATATTTCAGTAACTGTTGATGAATGCTCCTTTTAGGGCCTGTATTTATGATGCAGTGTTGCGCTTAAACTCTCTGGTGTCCTCCTGCAGTCTCTGAGGAGCAGTGTTTGTACCAGATCTACGTGGATGAACTCTATGGTGGGCTACAGAAGCCAAACGAAGAAGAGAAGAAAAAGTATACGCGATAATTTTTCTCACCCCAGTGTGTGTGTGCGTTTTGTGTGTGTGAGAAAGAGCGAGATTGTGACAGAGTAAGGTCAGTGCTCAAGTACGTGCAAGTACATTCATGTAAGTAAACCACTCGTTTCTCACCAGCGGTGGCGATTGTCTGGTTGCAGGCTGGCTGAGAAAAAGGTCGCCATCGGTTACACATACGAGAACAGCACCGTGACAGACCCTGACCCCGCTTCGGACAAAGATGAAGACAATTCGGAGAATAGCGAATCTGAAGAAGATGAGGTCATCCCAGATATCGGTGAGCTGTAAAAACATTGTGACAGTCTTTCGGCCCAAGTATTTCTTTGAGCTGGTTGTAATTTGGGGTCATGATTGTTCTGCCGGAGCACTGTAATTCGATCAATATACTGTAGATATTGAGGAGCTTTCAGTGTCATGCACTTTGGCCATCATCCACTTGATGAATTGAATGTAATTGCACACAATTTGAACTAAGTGATGGCGTCCAAATAGCGTGGGTGCTTGTGCACTGACAGATGTGGAGGTTGACATTGACGAGCTGAACCACGAGCAGGAGACGGAGCTCAACAAAACAGCCACTCCTTACGGAATGGCAGAAGGAGACTTTGTCAGGTATGATTTTTAAATCAATGTATCATAGGCGCTCTTCACTTTTGAGAGGATTCAGCGTTTGCCAATCCCTGTTCTTAAAGAGGAAGTAAATATTTTGTTGAAATGGGAAAAAAAACATTGGTATCAGCCACAAAATTAAAACTTTTCATGTGTACATATTATAGGATATGTGTTCACATTATTTTCAGGGGTTTCTATGTTTATATTTTTATTATTTTTAATTCGTAATTGTGTGTTATCTGACAATAACATCCATCCGTTTGCTAGCTATAAGGACGCAGTTGAGCTGCAGCAGGGGTGCCCAATATGTCGATCGCGACGGGTATAGGGCGGAATTAACTCATTCAGTACCAGCCAATTCTAGACCAAGTCTCAAAAGACGTTTAAAAACGTCTTTGGGAGTGAATGAGTTAAATAATTGCTCTGTGGGTGTTATTAATACGATATGTTTTTGTGTTAATGTACACTGCACCCTCAGCATCCTATCAGTTTCACTTACACAAAAAAGTACTTCAAAAAATAAAATAAAAAAGCTGGTCACCTTTAACCTACGGTAGCACGTGACCCGCACCAGCGGAAGTTGTTCGCGACCAGCAGTCTGCAATTGCAGCTTGCAATCGGAGCTGTTGTGATATATACATCCTTTTTTTCATGATTCTCATCCAAAGTTTGTTTCATCTGCAATCCACCGGTGGCACGGGCAAAGAAGGAGAACCATTTTAAAACGGTACACGAAGGTTTCTGTACTTAACACGCTGCAAAAGTGCATCTCATGCCTCCAGGTCAGGTCTCTATTAAGGTAGGCGGTTGATTTCCTTTTCGCAAACTGTAGTATCGACTTGACTTTTCTGTTTCGGGGCCATTATGGTTGTCCCTCGTCATGGCGTGTGTGCGTGCACATGCAGTAACGGGTCGATCGCGGCAGGTTGGTTGCTGGAGCAGGTCGTGAGAAAAAAAGGTTGGGCACCCTTGAGCTGGAGACTCTCAGCTCACTTTGAGAGAGAGACAGGTTGCACCCTGGACTGGTCGCTGAGGCACAACAGAACTCCAGACATGTAGCTCTGAGCTGAGATTTGAACTCTGTTCCTTCTCGACTGTCAAACACTCGGGTTCTTTCCTGCCTTCAGTAAACATAGCGTAAAAACAGACTGTTTTTGGTGGATACAGGAGCTGCTTTGTATTGCTCCTTGTTGGCACTAGACGGCACTGTTGCCCACGATTTATACAGTGGTTTCCTCCTCATTGCCGTTTTTGTCTGACACCGATGAGGGATGTGTGACAATGCATAGCTTGACTTAAAAGTTTATCGTAATTGTGCCCGTCAGGATGTTGAGGAAGGATAAAGAGGAGGTGGAGGCCATCAAGCATGCCAAGGCGCTGGAGGCTGAGAAAGCCATGTACTCTGTAAGGATAAGTCCTTTCGAGGAAGGTGTGTGTGGGCGCACGCGTTTTGTGACCTTATGTGACATGTTTGTTGATTTAAGGGTCGCCGTTCTCGCAGACAGAGGAGAGAGTTCAGAGAGAAAAGACTTAAAGGACGACAAATCAGTCCACCCAGGTACATCCAGACCTACAGAAGTTATACAATACAGAGCCAGTCCACCGTGACCAATTTTGTCCTTGCCTTGTCATTTTTTAAATTCTATTCGATATTTTTTTTTTAAATTAAAAACCATGATTTTTTTTTATTTTTATTTTTTTACAGTGTTATTAGAGAGAAACTGCATGCTAATTCTTCAGAATGGCCTTGATATATCGAGGACTCGCAATAAAAATATATTTAAAAGCGTGATGTAAAAAGCACACTACAGGCCACTATTTTGCCAGTTTGACTTTGTTTCTTCTTGCTCCATCTTCAGCTATGCCAGGAGAGATAGTCCAACCTACGATCCTTACAAACGGTGTGCTTGCCCTTCTATTCAATGTATTTTTTTTTTTGTTTTGTTTTTGTTTTTCTCTCAACCTTGTTGCGGACTCTCTTTTAGCAATGTTTTTCTTTTATTTCTCAGACCAGAGTCGGAATCCAGCTCTGAATCCCGCTCGCGCTCCCGGACCCCCGGTCCAGAGAAGATCACCTTCATCACCAGCTTTGGAGGCAGCGACGATGAAGCTGTGGCGGTGGCAGCGGCAGCCGCGGCACAGGCCGCCGCCTCCCACGCCGGCCACAGTTCCTACACGCCGCATCCCGCAGGTCATAGCAGGGGCTCCCGGTCGGTAACTTTCCCTCCTCCTGGCTTTTCATTGGTTAGTTTGTTGACATGATCGCTGGCAACGGGAGATTCCTCTCATTTGAGGCATGTTTTTTTTTTTTCTTCCCCTCCTAAATAAATATATATGAGTTGAGGTTCAAAAATCTTCTGTGCCTAATGTGCCAAGAGATTTAGGTTATGTCTGCAGTTACCGAAATATTTTTGAAAAGGTGTCTGTCCAAATGACAACACACTTTTAGGCTCTCGTGCATTTAGTTAGCTAATTTGGTTTTTATGTGTCTTGAGCCTTCCGTTCATAATAATGTACACTGTAGAAAATCAGCACTTGACTATTCTGAGCCTGCGAGACAATCTGAATAAATATTTAATCTAATGAATATATCAATTGAGAACACTCACATGTGTCAGCGCACGAAGTGAAATCAGCCTATGCAAAGGGAAAGGAGACATATTATGTTTTTTGTTCTTTTTTTTTTTCCCCCTGTGTATAAAAAGGTCTGACATTTTGCATCCCAAATACTGAGAATAGAATAACCTGTTCTACCAAGCAAATGGAGAGCACAACTTTAGTTACCATGCACAGTTGCAATGACGCGAGCAGCTGCTTAGCTTTGCCAACTATTACTGCTTTTGTCGCTTTATTTAGCAACTTTCCAACTGCAATGCAAAGCAATGAGCAGCTTATCCAGCCCCTTTTTCTGGTCTTATTGGATATTCTGTGACCCTTTCCAGAGCAGATGTTAACCCCTCTGTGTCCAAACTGCAAATAAAAGGTGCAAAGTAAGGTTGTCTTAAACAGATATTTTTGGAATCGAGTTAACCTATCGATTACTTGGGCAAACGCCCCATTTTCCCCAATTTACATTTAAATGCTGAAGATGGAGTCACTCACGTTGATAAAAACCTATGTTTGCTTGTCGCCAAAAGACCAAACCTGATCAGAAGTTTAGTTTTTTTTTTTAAATATTCATGTCCGGGTGAACATGGCCTCAATGATTTGACAGGTTTCAGCACACTGCATGGAACTCACTTTGATCAATCAGAGTAATGGCGTGATCAATTGCATACCTCAGAAGTGGGAAATAATCAGCCTAGGTGCTCGACCGTTCACGTTATAGAAACTTGGTCTGTTTTCGTTCAGGAGACGGAGGTCCTCGTCCAGTCGTTCCCCATCATACACCACCTCTGGCTCTTCATCACGGTCCTCCTCTTCGTCCTCCCATTCACACGGTCGAGGGCGGCGAGGAAGGGAGGGCCGGCGTTCTCGGACCCACTCCCGCTTGAGACGACATTCCCGGTCATACTCGCGCGACCGAGGGGGGTCCCGGAGGAGACGCGAGCGGACGCGGTCTCGGTCTCGATCGCGAGCCAGAGAGCGAACAAGGGAGAGGAAGCGATACTCTTCAAGGAGACGGACAAGGTGAAGACGCGTCCTTCATGAAACATTCTTTTTAACTACTGTATGTGTGCCTGTGACCTGACCTCCCCTTGGTTTTCAGATCTCGCTCCAGCTCACGGCAGGGGGGTTCCTCTCGGCGAAGCGTCCGCAGCAGCGGCGCTCACCGGCGGGGCGAGAGCAGCAGTGGCAGCCCCTCGTCATCCCCCGACCGCTTCAACCACAGCTCCTCCCCTGACGACAGAGGGCCCCCTATTTCTGCTCACACCGTTACCGACAAACTCAGAAAGTAAGAACATGGCGATATTCTATGAGCGTTAAGTAGTCATTGAACAGAATGTATAGGGAGGTCCTTGATTTACGACCTTGAGTTCCATTCTTATGACGGCGATCGAAGTCCGAACATGCTGTAGTCTATCACTAACCTCTGCTAATGCAGTAGTAAAGCCGTAATTGGTCCAGAAATATGAAACAATCAAATGAAAAATGCGGAGTCCGGTGGTAAATGAGTGGATCGTCTTGTGCCACGTGACTGCATATTCCTATGCTGCTTCATAAGCACAAAAATGTTATGTCACTTTTCGTTATGCCATGATTAATCGAGTAATTTGATTTAAAATATACTATTTGTATGCGATCAATCCAGTATGTAGTTGGTAGAATGATTTGACAGCTGGAGTCCGAGTCACAACCATCATTAACTGAGGACCCGCAGTCCCAACTCACAAAATGCGGGCACTTAATGGAACAAAACAACCACCATTTATTTTGCAGAAGTTTAATCAACCATGAAAACATGTCTACATATGTTTTTCGAATTAGTTTATAGTTTTGTACCACAGAGCCTCAAACTCCCGTGTGGTCAAACAGTGGCCATTACAAATAAACCTGGCCGGTATATGAGAACATTGTTAGTGACATTTGAAAAAGGCCTCAGACAAATCAAGACACCCAACCAATATTGATTTGAGAAGTTGTAATCATGATCAAACCTTTCAAAGGGAAGTCAAGGTAAAAATGGTCTTGGCAATATTTTCTGTGCGACCCGCTAGTCTAAACGGTATTCTGATTTATCGTGCAATTGTGGAATACGACGTGAGAAGCAAAATGCACCTGCTTCCCCGCCATCTCAGGTGGCGGCCATTTTGCCACTTGCTGTCATCTGAAAATGAAATAACAGTTGCTCAGGGGTCAGGTAATGACCAATCACGGCTGTGCAACTGTGATGTCATTTTCAGTCAACACCAAGTGGCAAAATAGCCGCCTCCTGAGATGGAATAAAAAATGGGTTACGAATGTAATTTGAATCCAATTGCTACATTTGGAATGGTAGAACACAGAACATATTGTAATAAAAACAATTTTGACTTCCCCATTTAAAACGTAATTTACGCTACAGGCAATTTTTAAGTAACATTTTGACATTCTTAACTGTGATCCAAGTGTTTAAAAAAAAAGTTGTCTAAAGTAAAACTATCACCACATTTTTAAGAAATGAATGAACACTCAAAGCACTTCAAAAACAATAGATGCTATTGATCTCAATGATAACTCACTGTTAATATCAAGATGTTTCAAAGTTCAGTCAATGTGAAACAAAACATTTCTTTTGAAAATCAAAAGAATCAGTGTCCAAATTATCAACCCTCGAATTGAGAGAGCCCGCTCTGTGCTCGAGGTGGGCGTCCACTCTTGGCTGTCCTAACTTCTCCACGCTTCCTTGTCGTCCCTGCAGGCCTGAAACAGCGGGTGGTAAAAAGACGGGAGCTGCCAAAGTCAGTAAGAATTTGATGTGGCAGAGGTTTCTTGCTAAAGCCTACTACGCCTCCCTCATCCCTGACAGGCTGACGTGGCCGCCGCCGTCCACCACGCGCCGACGTAGAAGCCCCGTGTCGCCCCTGAAAATAATCTTTTCTTTCTGTTTTAACCCCCCCATACACATACCCCTTAGTCAAAGCCTCCACTGCACAAAAGTGGCGAAAAGTCAGTGAAACAGTACTCCAGTCGACTGGACTTTTTTGTCTTAGTGTGCGTGTTGTTGTTAATATTTACTTTTTAGCTTTGGTTTGTTCTGGCTAATGAGTGTGCTTTAACCCAGGTGATTATGACTTTGTAGGGTGTGGACAAATGTCTGGGCTTGTTTAAACAATAGAACATATTTCAATGTCCTACAGTTTTCAACTGTGAGATCACGGAGTGTGATAGTGTTTTACTGTCAATCATTGCGGAGGTTTTTTTTTTTTGTGCTGTCCACCTCCTCCTCTTCTTCCTCCTTCCTCCTCCTCCTCCTCCCTGCCGCTGCTTGTTCATCTTTTCCTGGCAAAGAATCGTTGTAGTTTTGCATACACGCCATGCCTCTCAGTCAAGAGTTGCACTCGCCCTCCCGCGTTCGACTCGCCTGCGGTGTTGTGGCCTGCCATCTTTCTTGCCTGGCCAGGTTTGAACAGCCCACTGCTGGGTGTGTCGGCGGCAAAGCGCCACTGGCTCTTTTGTGAACTCGCCGGACCTGAACTTGCTTTTGTTTTTCATAGCGTCCCTCGCTGCTCTCTCAGCTGTCCTCGTGCATTAATCTCCTCTTAGCCCGCTGTGCTCTTTTTCTCCCCCCCCATCCCCTATTTACTAATTTACCGGACACTTGTGTCAAGGGCACGTGTGGCGAAAGGTTCCAAAGATGAGAAAGTATTTCATTCACCTGTTTACCCACTTTTGAATCATTCAAAGTGTCCACTCCAAATTGTATCGAGCGCGCTGTTGTGGAGTTGCTAATATAACGGTGTCGCCCGCAGTCCAAGCTGACGCCACAGGAGAAGCTCAAGCTCCGCATGCAGAAGGCCCTCAACAGGCAGTGTGAGTTTATGCAACAACAAATGGGACATGTCATTTCCTGGGTGATATTTGCTCATTGTTTCCCCTCTCCTGCAGCCAAGGCGGATAAGAAAGCGGCCCAGGTGAAGATCAAGCAGCAGGAGCACAAACGGCAGGTGTGTGTGTGTGTGTTCTTGTGTCCCTTCTTCAGTGTGTGTGTGTGTGTGTGTGTGTGTGTGTGTGTGTTCGTTACTTTTTGGTGTAGGTTTGCTGATGTGTTTATTTGTGTGTGTTTTGTCATGTTTTTGTGTTCTTTAGCGTATGTGTTTGTATGTTCGTGCATTTGTTGATCAGTATGTTATGCATATGAGTGTTTGAAGATGTTTGTTCACGTGTTCGTTTGTGTGCTCGTTCATTTCGCGAGTACTCGTGTCTGTGTGTATGTTCAGTCTTCTGTGTTTGAGTTTACTGGGTTTTATTTTCATCGTTTTGAAAATGCTTAGTTGCGTTGTCGTTTTTATTAGTTTTGATATTTTTTTGTCATACCATGTATTTGTCAGGCGTGAGATTTAAAAAGGTCACAGTATTATGTAATATTCCATTTAAAAATAGGTATTAATTTACTGCAGCAAACAGATGAATTGCCACTCAAAACTTAAATATTACAGTCCACAAAAATCTGAAGTCCACAAAAACCTGAAGTGCTGCCTCAAAGTTTTGATCCAAATAGTGTATATTTTCAAAATCACAGTAACCTGAAAACGCATGGTAAAGCCATTCATGAAATAATGAGGCGTCTCAAATACATCTTTTGAGATTTCCAATTGTAGCCATGTCCACAATGCTGACGTCTGTCTGAATTTCGTTCCCTGTGCTTCGTGGCCTGGATTTAGCTCCACTTTCAGGGGGATGTCCAGGGAAAAATTTAGAGTACACAACAGACAGGACGAGCACTTTGAGAATGAGAGTTGCAATTCAATCAAAAACCTGCACGCAAGGAGACCTTTCACGTACAAGCTAATAGCTGACCAAAGAAGTGTCGGGCTCGTAATCCTTTGACGAGGTCATACAGTACACGCACACATCAACAGGCAGTTATCTGCCTCATCCAACTGCCGACCACCCCAACTGCAGACATCTTGCTTGGTCTGACAGCAAAGTGGTAATACGGTATTAGAGACAGGAGGAACAAGGTCTGCTTTAAGAAACTGTAAACCGAGACAAAATCATCACCCACTTTCACTTCACTAGTTTTGATCCATGACAGTCACTAATAACATTGAGTTACTTCATGTATGAAATGCACGACATAAATAAAGCCACATGCCTTAAAATCAACCCAAGAGACATATGTCTGGAATAATTGGAAAAGGTGACAACCGAGAACATTTATGCGACGATTATAGTTTGATTTTGTAAAGCGTGTTTCAATCGTTTGGTTTTCGTTCTTGCGCGTTTTCATTTTGGCGTCAACAAAAACTGTCCTATCCTCCATTTCCTCTTATTGCTCAAGTGGTTGTTCTACAGGAGCGAGAGGGCGAGCTACGAGCCATGGCACGCAAGATACGCATGAAGTAAGGCGGTGTGTGCGCAGGTGGACCCTTTGGTATTTGAGTGTGTTGAAATGTGTCTGACCTTAAGGCTTCTCTGTTTAGGGAGCGTGAGCGGCGCGAAAAAGAGCGGGATGAATGGGAGCGACAGTACGGACGCCAGAGCAGCAACTCGCCCTCTCCTTCTCCCTCCAAATATGGTAAGGCTGTGAGGGTCAGCAGCCTCGCAGGAGCAAACATTTACCAGCCCGATCCTCAGACTCGGACAATAGAGCCGCTTTCGAAAGGGGTCCTCAATAGGCATTCAAAGGCTGAATTTCCTCTGCATGCTTCAAGTGGCACGATTCCTTTTTTTTTTTTTTTTTGGCTCTCCAGTGTCACAATTGGGATATGAGTCTTGGGCGCTTATCGCGCCTCTTCGGGTCAGAGTCAGACCTTCTCCTATTGTTGAGACAAATTTGACATGTATCCGATATGTACCAATGTGAGTGCAGCATAAACACGCATGGACTTAGACCTCTTGAGTGTGAGCTTGATGTCATCTAAATATACCAAATTGGTGACAGTCCTTAGAGGTGTCTCCGCAAACAATTAAAAAAAAAAAACACATTAAAAAGCACCCACTTTAAATCGAAGCTACATCTCAACTTAGAAAATAAAAATGTAGTCTGAGAAGTCCAAGAAAGTTGACGTTAAATTTAAATGTGGAAATTAAAAAAAAAAAGGTTGGACACTGTTTTTTTTAATATTAGTTCACATTGTTTAGATATGGTCAGTCAAAGACAGTAAATATTCAAATCATGTAAAATGTGTTTCCTTAAATGAAGTAGGAGGAGAGCCCTCTTCTCTATCACTTTTAATGCCTTTTTTTTTTTTTTTTTTGTGAATGGACTGGCCAAAATGTGAGAACCTAGCCCATGACGCGTTGTCGTGTTTAAAAACTGATGTAAGTAACCCTAAGTAGCATTTTAGACCAGGGTGCCTTATGTTCTCTGACAGCTTTATGGGCCATAAGAGGGTCTTATGGCGTTTGCTTGTGTTCTGATGACGACTCTTGTGTGCTCTTGTCCCTCAGGCCGAGATTCCAGCTCATCCAGAAGGTATGTGAGGACACCTCTTCCTCTTCACATTCTGTGCCCGTCACTATTATTTATGCTTCATTACATTTCTCTCAACTAGAATCGACTGATTACAGAGCAATTAAAAAAAAAAAACCCTAGAGAAACAGAGCCATACATAAGTCAAAGTAATGACATTAATATTAATACTAAATAACAAAATACTATTGTTTTTGGAAAATTACATATCTCTTGTGGGGAGGGGAGCCGTACCAATACTAGTTGTTGACATTCCTGCAGCGCCGTATCTGTCTGCAGAGCAAACGAGTTGAAATTGTTGCATCACTCTAATAATTTGATAATAGCAAAATCTGTGCCTTTGCGGAGATCTTTTTTCCACACGGAATAATGGTACTGTGGACACATGCACCATTCTGTGTAGAAATAGGGTGGTGCAATGGCAAAAAAAAAAAAAAGTAATTTTACACTTAAAAAGTAGAACAAAGTATCCTCTCACACCAGCACGTGTACGTTTGCTGACAAAAGGTAGCGTTGTCACTGAGTTTAACATAGCCTACCACCGTTAGCTGGAATGTATTTTAATGCCCCCGAAAGTGGTCAAGGATGCATTTCAGTCACTTTATTGAAGAAACAGGAACTAAAAAAAAAAACAAAAAACATGTAATAAGCACATCACACATGAGCTGCAGCGGCCGTAACTGTTGCCGAGTAACCTAACATGTTAACAGCCAGCTAAATGTACTACGACACCCACGTCACTCACCAGGTCATGCCTCACCTTTTTAAGCCACACACACTCAGTCAAATAGTATGAAAAGTGAGGATGACAAAAAAACCTGCAGCTCGCATGCACATTTCGTTGTTTAATAATCCCAAATCAATTTTTATTCGATTACTCAGTAAATCGATGGGATAATCTGTAGAATCGTTTCAAAATATATATTAAATAGCTGCAACCGTTAACCAAACTTTGACATTCCTGATGATGGCCGCCTGCTGTTCCACAAGTGGCCTTTTGGCTGTCTGAAGGTGTCAAGTAGCGATCAGATTGCCTTGAGGAGGCAGAGGAGGACTTTTTGATCCCTTCAATATTAGAGTCCCTTCTCGTCTCACAGTCCGACTTGTTGAAGTCTCCACTCTGCAGCTAATGCTAATGACACAGTAAGCATTAAATGGCTCTCATGAGTCCTATTAATTACCATGCTGGCCTTTTTAGGTTGTCGTGAGGTCATCAATACAACAGCAGACATTGTTTAGCCAAAGCCATCAGTGTGGAATCTGGCAGAGTAATCACGCGATAATTAATTTTTACTGTTGTCTTTACTTTTGTTTTGTTTTTTTACCCCCCAATTTCCTTCTTGTACTTTTAGGAGGTATCGGTCCCGGTCCCACTCTCGCTCTCGCTCCAGAAGTCCGTACAGCAGACACTGAGTTGAAATATCAGAGGATTTCCTTGTACAATAAATCAGAACATAAGCCAGGGTGACTGTTGTTGACACACAAACACCTCAGACATGTATGTATGTATGTATGTAACATGTTCTCTCTCAAACCAAGTGTGTGCGTGCTGTGCACACACAGTATGATTAAATGTTGACCTTGTCGCTTTTCTGTCACTCTTCTCATATTTGGCATGAAAAGATGCTGCGGGTTATGAAACTGGTTTGCGTTTTCTTCTTCTTTTTTTTTATTTTTTTCTCCTCTCCTTCAACCTCCACATGCTCCTCTCTACTCATATTTCAGTACGACTCCCATCCACACACCGAGCACCTTTGAAGTCCTCCTGTCTGGATATTTTACATGTAATTTCTGCGCTAAATCACGATGATTACATTAAATGCTTCACACTTTTTTTTTCCCCATTTTTTTTTTTATATAAACACAATAGTCCCTACTCTGGCATGTCCCAATAAAAGTGATCATGAAGCAAAATGATGGTTTATGTTGGTTATTTATCATCTCTCAAAGCAGCACTGACTTGTCTCATGTTTTAGGAGATTATTGTTCCATTTAAACTAAAACTTCTTTGAGGATTCCTCAACAGGAGTTAATGAAAATAATTTGTTCCAGTGTCCAACGGCAATGTAAAAAAAAAAAAAAATCGTACAGGGAAGTAACATTCTGTGCAATCTCTTTTTCTGTCGCTCAAATTCTCCCCCTCCCACCAAAAGTTATTTGCCGTGAGGTGTCATATTGTATTTCCGGTGACCAGTGTGAAGAGCTTGCACATAAAATTTAACACACCTGCTCGCCATTCACACCTATGACCATTAACAATTGAGTCACTTGACACCAGGGAGGCAAGAAATGGCTAAATTGGTCAGTTTCACTTGAAGGTGCACTCACTTTTTGTAACCAGTGGTTTAGTCATTATTGGCTGTGTGTTGAGTTATTTTGAGGGGGACAGTAAATGTACATTGTAATACAAGCTGTACACAGACTACATTACAAAGTGCCTTCAGTACCTCCAATTTGTGGTAACGCTCAAGTGGGTCTGCTTTGAATGAGTCTGCGTCCTTACTATGCATATTCTTTTCATGGGCCTAGTCATGGACGCTATCCTTTTGGTAGTGAAGGAAAAAAAAGCCAAAGAAAAAGCACAACTTGCAGCCTTAATTCTTCAAAAATGTCTGCCGAGATCATGGTTCCAACTCGCATGTTTCACCTGTGGTCACTGCAGTCTTACAATTTACTTTGTGGTATTAAAAAAATAAAATAAGCTTTTGTCCCGCAGCTTTATTCTGTCAGGGACAATAAATTGAACATGAAACAGGCATTTTTATTGCATGAAAAGGTGATGATGATTTTTTTATATACATATATAATATGTATATTATTTTTAGTTTTTTTTATAGTGTATTTGAGTGCTGTGAAGAAAAGCAGAAATGACTAGTCTTGCGGAGACACCTGTGGAACTCGGTAGTAGTTTCTTTGAAACCCGAAACTAAATGGACTCATTCAGGTACTTCAACTTGTGTTTAAATCTTGCCTAAAAGTATAAAATACAGAGGGCTCCTTGGTTTACAAAAGGGATTTCAAACCCATTTTTGTCGCGGGCCACATTTTAGTCACAGTTTCCCTTGGAGGGCCACTATGACTGAAATGACATAAAGGAGTGAAGAATAAAGGTTTATTCAACTATTGTTGAAGTTCTTGTAATGAGGTGTTTGGTGACAGTACTTACAATATCTCATTTATTACATATGTGAATTTGAAATTTTGTGACAGATTTTAGCAAGCATCGTGGAAGTTGACATGTTTGATTTCCTTTCCTGTGCCGCATAAAATGATGTCACGGGCCAGATTTGGCCCCTGGGCCTTGAGTTTGACTGATGATGTGGTATATGATAGACTGTTGTACATTTGGACAAATCTGGCTTGTTATGTTGCTGGAGGAACGGAACATATTTCCTATCCAGGTCGGCATGGGCCGATTACCGGTTTGATGGTTTGCATTGTCCCCGCCAAGTAAACAGACACGGTGACTCATTCGTCTTATATATTTGCCTTGGTCATTATTTTAACTTTGTTGCAAAGTAAGAAAAAAAAAAGTTGATTAAACAGTTGTCTTAATTGAACCTTTTTTTTTACCATGACCTGAGTGACTGAGAATCCACACATATAAAAAGGAAAAAAAAAATAACAAGCATGTTTTTTTAAATTAATATTGCGATCCTATGATAAAAATGACACAGACAATGATGATCTTCGGCTCACAATATACTTTATGAGAACTTTGTTGCAAAGTAAGAAAAAAAAAGTTGATCAAACAGTTGTCTTAATTGAACCTTTTGTTTTACCATGACCTGAGTGACTGAGAATCCACACATATAAAAAGGAAAAAAAAAATAACAAGCATGTTTTTTAATTAATATTGCTACCCTATGATAAAAATTCCACAGACAATGATGATCTTCGGCTCACAATATACTTATTTTTTTAAATGTTGATGTTGTACAACACCAGCAGTTGTTTTTCCAAAGCGCTCAAAGAAATAAATGTGAGGTAAGGACAAACAAATTTTTGAATTTTTTTAATTAAATGCACAAAAAAATTACGTTTTTTCTCAATGTGATTTTTTTTTCAATTTGAATTTAAAAAGGGTTTAATTTTAAATCATGAGCATTTTTCCTTGAATCCGTGACAAGGGGCCCTAGACATCCGCGGTTTTAACTTTACGAAAAGTGCGGATTCAATTAGTTGTGCGGCGGCGTGAACAGCACGTGGCCACACAGCACAGGACGGCACACGCTCAGTAACTACATACTTACTTTTATCTTTTTGGTCATTTCAATGAGCATATCTTGTAATTATGACTTTTCTACTGTGGCATGACGGTCGTAAACCAAGGACCCCCTGTCTAGTGACACGTGTATGACCAGTGGGGTCGCGGTTTTTGTCGTCGTGTAGGCGGGGTTTGCTGGCCTGGCCACGCCCCCTTGTTGCCCTCCGCTCGCGGACTGCGAGGAGACGGAAGACGCGTGAACTTGAACGCAGCCTTGTCAGTCCAGTCCACGCAGGGGAGGAGACATCCACACACAGCACACACAGGCCAGTCCGTCTTATCACCACCGGCCCACTTATCACACCGCGTGCACCTGGACCGAATCGGCTTCTTTTTTTCCCCCACTTCTCTTTTCTTTGTGTGTGTGTCTGGTAATTGGAGGGTTTTTTTTTTAGGGGGTGGGGGGCAAGCGGCGAGGCATCGACGCGATGTCCAGACGCAAACTTGGCAGCAGACCGCAGCACCTGAGTGCAATTCACGGTAAGCACCAAGCACGTTGACGGAATGGAAGTTGTTACGAAGTGGGCTTTCGTTTGCTTCTACTGATGAAATGACGCGTTCCTTGTCATCGCCGTGACACTCTAAACATCACATACGGAACCGCGAACGCTTGTCATGTTTAGGACGTGTCCAGACCTAGTTGCTTTTAAAACCGGCTTTTTTTTTGGTTTAATTTATTCATTTCATTCAAGTACTGTAGTAGTAGTTCTTGATAAGTTTCGGCTTCTAATTTTACCTAAACAGCGAAAAAAATGTTTTAATGAAAATGAATTTGAACTCGTTTCTAAAATTCTATCTCTTGCTTACTTAGTCGTTTCTAAAAACTCGTATCTAAAAACGATCTGAAAATGTACAATATGTCTGAAATTGAAGCTTCTTAATTTTTCAAAACTGTACGTGCGTTGGTGTGACCACAGTCCCTCGCTGTGGCTCGCGCGCGTGTGTGTGTGCGTGTGTGTGTGTGTGTGTGTGTGTGTGCGTGCGTGCGTGCGCGCGTGTGTGTGTGTGTGTGTGGCCTCGCCTTACAAGTCTGCACAAACAGCCACAGCTCTGAAACAGGAAAGGTGACATTTTTGAGTAACAACTGGCGAGATGCGGCTCCACACTGTACTGTCTGTACCTGTCCCGATTCTATTCCAGTTTATGCTGCTGCTTCTCCATTGGCCCCGGTCCAGGCAACAAGGTGTGCCAGTGACCGGTGTTGAGCAACAGGACCCTTTTCTCAGAGGGCACTTTTCTTCTAGGCTACATTTAGTATTCTTTTAATGTGCAAAGGAAGCTCGCCATGGAGGACTACAGTGGGCTAACTGCGTTTTTATGTGTCATTTTGACACGTAGGCGTCTATTACACTCAGCTTTCATGAAATATTAATATATTAGACGGGTGTCTGGACCCTGACCACTGATACAAACCATCTTGTGACATCCATAAAACGTTCTTTTGCCAAGTGACAAAAAATGAAGTTTGCCACTGAGAACAAGAGTGGGCTGATTCCCCTTTTTGTCTGCGTGAGTGCTGGAGTGGGCCAACTCCTTTTTTGTCTTAAAATGTTGTTATTTTTATGCATGCAGAAGTGGATAGGGGAAAGGCATAACTTTCAGATGAATCCTGGTCATAATCCAGAATAAGTTCCGACAGTCCATTATTGAACTCAGCACTTTTTTTTTAGCTTGATAAATGCATTTGCATCTAAGTATAGGTGGATGTTATGGATCACATTTATTGAAACATTTCTACATTTGACAGAATATCCAACTTAGACCATTATTACTAAAGTTTTAGCAGTAGCCATTGGGCAGGAGCCATAACACTTTAAATCCTACTCTTGCAAAATGACAAAAAATGAGTTCATGACTAAAACTAGATTGGTTTACATCATTTTTTTGTGTCAGGAAGAGAGCTGGGGTGGGCTCATATAATCTTTCATCATTCAACAAAAATAGCTATACCTATGTGCCAAAACGAATAAGGAAACAACTTGTCTTTTTGATCAGACATGTCCATCTCCGATCCTCGATTTGACACGTTTTCAGAGTTGGATAACTATTACCAAACCTTTAGTGGTAGACAAATTTAGACCATGAACCTGCAAAAAAATTGAATTAACCACAAAGAACTTGATTTGGCTTACTTAATATTTCTGTGTTGGAAAAGTTGCTGAAGTGGGTAAAAACCTACATGCCAAAATAGAGAAAAAGGCATATCTTTCAGTTAAATGAGAGTTATAGTCAAGGTTTAGTGCCAAATTTGAGTCCACTATTGAACTCTGGTCTGATTATTAGTTTAGCGAGGAGGTCATCTTTAGTTTTTGTGGCTATTTAGGCTATTTACCATTTTTCTAGATGTGGCAGATTTCCAGACTGAGACCACTATCACTAAACCTTAATGTTAGAGTACTTATCATGCACCCAATGACAGAAATTGAATTTGCTAACTCATTTTTTTGTGTGTGTCAGAAAGAGATCCTGAGGGCATATCTTCATTTTTTAAAATTTTGAAGTTACATTCTAAATTGAGTAGTCAGACATTTTTTTTCTGATGAAAATTGGTCATCATCAAGGTTTAGTACCAAATTTGATAGCCCATTATTGTACTTGTGATTTTTGTTTGTTTGTTTGTTTGTTTTTTTTTAAGCTTAGGTCGTTGTGCATATTCGTATATGTAAATGTCATTCACCATATTTCAGTAAATATTAATAGATTTGACAGAATATCGGACTTAGGCCACTATTACCGAACTTTTAGTGGCGGCCATAAAACTTAAAATCACTTGAAATGAAAACTTGAAACTGAAAACTCACTGGGGGGGGAAAATGGAGTTAGTCCACTTGTTCTCAATGTCTCAATGCACCTTTCAATTGTTATTTACCTGCTTGTAACCTTTTTTTTTTTAAAAAACAATTTTTATCCGACTGCTTCACGTACTGACACTCTTTTGGCCTGGTTTCAAAGTTCTCGCGTCTCGCTCTAACCACATGTGTCAGGTATGGGGTCACATGTCACATTTGTGAGCTTCAAACACACACGCGCATGCAAACGCACACTCACGTAGGAAGGCAGGCTGGGCCGCTCTTATCTTACACCTTCGGTCATTTTCCCCCCCCCCTCCCCCTTTTATTGCATTCTGCTTCCTGTTGAGAAACACTTTGCAGTTTGAGTCTTGGGGTGTGAATACAGTGGATTAAGAAAGTCTGCACACCCCTTTTCAAATGCCAGCTTTCATAAAGCCCCAAAAAAATTACAACCAGTGCAACTCAACTGGGGAAAAATGTTTCCAAGGGAGGAAGTAACCATAAACAACTGGGATGTTTGCAAAAATGAGCACACGCTCTCATAATTGGGGATGTGGGCTGTGCTCAGAACTAACCAATAACATTGCTACCTATGAGAACAGGTGAACTTGATTTCAGATGAACCAGAGGTGGCAGGTGTGTGATGATAAATTTGGATGTGATTCGTTAATTCTGAACATGTCATATTTTTCCAGTTGAGTCGTGCAGGTTATGGTAACATTAATGGTGGAAAAAAGTTTTGAATTGATTTATCTCCCGGTGGTTCAGGGATTAGCGCGTCGACCTCACAGTGCGGAAGTGTAGGGTTCGATTCCGGCTCCGGCCTTCCTGTGTGGAGTTTGCATGTTCTCTCCGTGCCTACTTGGGTTTTCTCCGGGTGCTCCGGTTTCCTCCCACATTCCAAAAACATGCATGGCAGGTTAATGCAACACTCAAAATTGTCCGTACGTGTGAGTGTGAGCGCAGATGGTTGTTCGTCTTTGTGTGCCCTGCGATTGGCTGGCAACCGGTTCAGGGTGTCCCCCCCGCCTAGTGTCCAAAGACAGCTGGGATCGGCTCCAGCACCCCCCTAGTGAGGATAAAGCAGATCGGAAAATGCATAGATGATTATCTCAGTGTCATTTTTTTTATACCACACACACAAAAAGGCATTTGAACGGCAGTGTATCGACTTTTTGTACTCACCGTATGACTCGAAATCACACCAAGATGACCAGAACATTTCATTTATAAACGGCAAATAAAACTGCAGAGGATAAGTGTTTGTGTAATCGTCAAAGGCACAGAAAAAAAAAAGTATTAGAAATATTTGACTCTTTTTATTTTTCAAAAGGCTTCTCCACCTCTGCACTTCAGCATGTCATACGTTGTTTGAGGTGAATGAGGTGATGTGCCTAACCC